ACTGGAGCCTGGGTTTGGAGGTTCACCTTCTGCTGCATTCGGGCCTGGCGAGTGGCCTCAACTTTGTCCTCTCGGGCATTAAAGACTTTAAATGCCGTGTTCAACAGGTCTCGGATAGGGGTCTGAGGGCCTCTTCTGCCTTTTTTTTTTTTTTTTTATCCTCACCCGAGGACATTTTTTCCATTTTTTGCACAGATAGAGTGGGAGAGAGAGAGAGAGAAACATCGATGTGAAAGAGACACATCAAGTGGCAGCCACCCGCACGACCAACCAGGGCCGGGGACAAACTGCAACCGAGGTACGTGCCCTTAGTGGGAACCGAACCCGGGTCTCTCCGGACCGCAGGCCGATGCTCTAACCCGAGCCAAACCAGCCAGGGCCTCTTCTGCCTTTTTAAGTGTCTTTCTAATGTCTGGAGCTGACTGAGAGATAAAATGAGCAGCTAAGACTGTGGCCCCCGCAACGGAGGCAGGGTCCAGGCGGGTGTGGAGAACCACAGTCTCAGTCAGGCGGTGTAGGAACAGAGTTGGGTTCTCATCAGGTTCCTGAGTGACTTCTCTTAGTCTGCCGTAGTTAACTACCTTTCGGGCTGCATTCTGCACGCCTGCCAAGAGGCATCGGATCATCTGGTCTCGCCTCTGTCTACCTTCCTGCCTTGCTTGATAAGTTCAACTGGGTTCTGCCTTGGGCTCTGCCTGTGTCCTGAGGGCATCTGGTCGTCTATAAGATGCACCTGGTCAGCATGGGCTCGTGCCGCTGTTCGGATCCTATCGCGTTTGTCAGAGGTGAGGGTAGAGGACATAGTGACATAGAGATCATGCCAGGTTAAGGTCATAAGTCTGAGTGAGGTATCTAAACTCTTTGATAAAGGCTGTGGGATTGGTAGAATAAGATTCTAAACGCGTTTCAATAGTGGATAAATCGGAGAGAGAAGGGGACATGGACCCGCACAAGTCCCTCTGCTCCCACTATCTCACGGAGAGGGTCATGGGTGCTGACAGGGGAGGGGAGAGTGGGAGTCGAGATGGAGGGTGGAGGAGGGTTAGAGGCGGGTGGGTCAGGATAAGGTGGAGGAGAGTTAAGAGGGGGTCAGGCCTGCTGGGAGGCGAGGACAGTTCCTCTGGGGGTCGGCAAACGAGGAGAGTTCAGGAGCGGAGGGTCTGGAGGGGTGTCTTTAGCTAGGAGGACCTGTGCTGTGGAACAGGAGGCTCAGAGGTTAGGACGGGATCGCAAATACCAAAAAGCCTGAATGTAAAGGATTTCCAATCACTTCCCATTTATTTGGCAAAAGTTTTCTAACTTTTGAGTATGGTAAAATCGAAAGTCCCTTCAGGAGGCCACCTGGATTGGTGTTGTGGGCCAGGCCACAGTGGAGGAGAAGTTTCTCCTTTAGGGAGGCATCTATTTTTGAGAGATTTAAAATGAGACACCCTAGAGGTGTTTTTGGATCCGGTGAGATTCCTGATTGCCCATGGTCCTGGAGTGATCAGAGATGAGATTTGGTGTCCCGCAACTCAATCTCTGGTCACCAGATGGACGGATAGAGTGGGGGGCATCAGGGACATCTCTGCAGAACCCCACACACTCAGAACGGATAGGAGGTCCCTGATGCAGCTGCGATTACAGACAGGGAGCCCCAGAGGTGGAGGGAACTGAGGAGCGGCCAGAGGCTGGGGGACTTACCACACTGTGTGCCAACTGGGTGGAAGGTCGGTGGTCCTGGTCTTCCTCGGGAGGGAGGGAGAGGAGCGGCCCAGGTGGGCTCAAGCTCTCTGACCCTGGGTTTCGGCACCAGATGTAAGGTATCTCGCCGAGAAGAAAGAGAAACAGAGTCACAGAAGTTGGCAAAAGTTTTATTGAAGCGCTCTCGGGAGGTTCGCTGGCCCACGTGGTGGGGGGCAGGGAAGTCCGCTGTTGTGGCTGCCCAGGAAGGTTTTATAGGGGGTGGGGTGGAGGAACAAAGAGGGGAGGTATTTGATTGGTGGTTTTGGTTTCTCTTCAGGCCATTTCCCAGTCCTGTGACTCCTCGGCCTTACACGAAGAAATCTGCCTCTCCAGCCCTCACCCCAGTGCCAACTAACTCAGTTCTTCCCTGTATGTCTCTGGTGCCATTCAAACTGCCTCCCCAGTACTGGAGCCTGGAGGGAGCATGTCCGAGTAAGTTTGTGCGTGGGCCCTTTAAGAGGAACTGCCTGGGGCCCAGCAGCCTCAGCCTTTCTCAGCCTCAGTTCCCAGTTCCCACTGGTTTTCCAGCCGGAAGTGATGGGGATTCTCTTCCTGGCACTGGGACCCTGAGCTGGGTGCCTGGTGTGGGACGGGGACCCCTCACTCCTCAGGCAGGACCTTCCCAGCCGAGGTACCCTCCTGTTTTCCACCACACGTGGGTGTGGGACCAGCCCATCCACCTCCACCCCTCCTACCGCTCTCCATGTGGTTCTTCTTTAATCTTGTAGTTGTAGGACTTCCACCCAGCTCCATGTGAGGTGTGCTGACATGTTCATAACCCCATGATTGATGCTGATTTCTTTATAGTTCCACAGTTGATGATTGGGAAAGTCACTGTGTGCCCTCTAGCAGAACCTGTTTTGTAAAGAATTTTGGAATATTCTCTGAACCAAGAAATTGTCGGGAGCTACTATGTGTCTGACAGAGTCCATGGAGCCTGGAGGTCTTGACCTCCCCCACAGTCTCAAGGAATTAGGCTCGCATTGTGTTTGTGCAGCTCGGGGCTAAGTGTGACCCCATGTACCTTGAAATACCTGAAATAACTGGGTGTGCCTGGGTGTTCCTGTTATCCGCAAGGCAAACTAATTCTATGCAGCATTGCTGTAGCCCTGGGCATTATATCAAGAAGATCCTATTTTCCTATATCATTAAACTTTTGCTGTAAGGTATGAAAGGCATGTAATAAAGCATATGGAGGCTGATCTCCGAAGACTCTGTCACAGGGGTGTTTGGAATCAGATACCGGCAGGCTGAAAAATGGCTCTTAATTGGACTTCAATTCTCTAGTGGTCTTTCTTTGACTTTGTTGTGCCCTCTGAAGGATGTCTGTTCTGTAGTTTAGTTGTCATTTTGATGTGGTTGTGGGAGGAGACAATGCCGTCCTGACCGGAAGTCTGATTTATTTATTTACTTATTTATATATTTATTTTTTAGGGAGAGTGGGGGGAAGAGAGAGAGAGACACATTGACTGGTTGCCACCCACATAACCCCAACCTGGACAAACTGCAACTGAGGTACGTGCCCTTGGCGGGAACCAGACCCGGGACTCTCTGGTCCTCAGGCGGATGCTCTAACCGCTGAGCCGAACCGGCCAGGGTGGAAGTCTGGTTTTTAAAAAGGTGTCAGAAGAGGGGTGCTCTTTTTTTTTTTTTTTTTAATTAATCCTCACCCGAGGACATTTTTCCATATTTTGTTCAGATAGAGTGGGAGGGAGAGAGAGGAAGAGAGAGAGAAACATCAACGTGAAAGGGGCACATCGAGTGGCTGCCACCCGCACGACCCAACCAGGGCCGGGGACAAACTGCAACCGAGGTACATGCCCTTAGCGGGAACCGAACCCGGGTCTCTCTGGACTGCAGGTCTACGCTCTAACCGCTGAGCCAAACCGGCCAGGGCGAGGGGTGCTCTTTATGGCTTGAGAGGAGTAGATCTAGGTGACATGGCCTCACGTTGTCCCTGATGGAGCCACAGGTTCAGGAGACACAGGGGCTGATGTTGATCTGAAGGAAGCACCGGTCTGGTTGGAGGCCGGTTGGGCAGCAGGTACATAGTGGTAGCTGCTAAGGGTTGTTTTAAATGCTTTATATACACAAACTTATTAACCCTCACCCGTAAGAGGTAGGTATTGCCATAATCCCCGTTTTCTGACGAGGAATGGAGGCACAGGTTAGTGCTCACTCAAGGTCACATAGCTGTGAGTATAATGCCAGCCCAGGTAGACAGGCTCCTGAGCCCAAATTCCGAAGAGCTCTTCCCCACATTGCCTCCACCAAGGTCACAGAAACATAACTACCTGTATGGAAAAGCACTTTGGAGAACTTCCCTAAACCAAGTCAGTATGTTCACTCCAATCCAGTGCTCTGTTCAGAAGGTCCCCACCCTCAGGGCACCCGAGGCTCTGGCGCTCTGCTCCGCCCAGCCCAGCCCAGCCGGGGTGACTGGACGTGGATAAAGAGTGGAGAATGAGAAGGGCTGGCCTGAGGGGAACTGGGGTGTTTGCTACAGAGTGAAAGCAGAAGAAAGGGAAAGGCTTCTGCCCCACCCATGGGGACAGCAAGGCCTCGCCCTGTAGACGGGACAGGAGGCAGAAAGGACAGAGCCACTGGTGAAAACTGAAAACAAGGGAATGCGAAGTGCAGACAGGAAACCGGAACAGAAGTAGATTCTTACAAAAGTGTTTCAGTGTTCAAGTGCTTAAATTATAGTTGTTATTATTATTATTATTATTATTTTTACATCAATGTGAGAGAGACGCATCAATTGGTTGCCTTCTGCATGAGCCCCACCAGGGTCGGGGTTCGAACCTGCAACCCATGTACATGCCCTTGACTGGGAATCGAGCCCGGGACTCTTCAGTATAAGGGCCGACGCTCTACCACTGACCCAAACTGGCCAGGGCCAAGTGCTTGAACTTGGATGTGCACCAGCAGAGAGTGCCCAGGCCTGGTAGATTTTCCTGGTACCCCCTACTCTCCTTTCAGGTTCTGCCACTTATCTTGGGCTCCGTTTCTCAGGACACACCCTCCCACCCCTTACCCTCTACTTCCACAGGGTTCGTTGGAAGGGGACAGTCTGGGCTAATGGTGGTTTGGCCCCACGTAGCTTTCTCCACATTGCCCATGACGGAGACTTGGATGATTTTTTAACCCCTGCCTTTGCACACAGCAGCTGGGCTGGGAGAGGGAAGGACAAGACTGAGAAGTTGGTTTGCGCGGCACGGTGAGCCCCACCCACTTGAGGCAAAGGTAGCAAGTTCAGTTGGTGGGAAGTGTCAAGCAGGTCCAAAGACTGTGGCTTTTTCAGCTGCCTTGGTAGCTCTCAGTCAATGAGAAACCCTCAGGTTGAGGAAACTGTGGCCAGACCGGCAGTGAGGCCGGGCCGATCGTCCCTTCCGGTGGCTCCTGCTGATGGGTGGCTGGGCCTGCGCCTGCCTGACCCGGCTGTCTGCCTGTGGGATGTTGGGGCCAGCTCTCGCCTTCATACTCTTGTTGCTGCAGGGACATCACAGCCAAGGTGAGGAGCCCATCTGCACAGGGAGGGGCTGACTGGATAGTGGCTGGGCCACGGGAGGCAGATCCTGCCACCTCTGGACAGTGCAGATTGCCGGGGTGACGTGGAACGGAGACCGAGCGACGCCTGACAGGTGTGGACAGGACAGGCTGGCCGAGGGCTGAGAGGTCCTTGAGAAGCACTGGCCGGTCTGTCAGCAGTCAGTGTGCCTTGTGTGGTGGGAGAGTCCTTCCTGCCCGAGGACGGAGGGCCGAGGACACAGCCTCTAGTGGGTGGTATTCGCCGCAGACAGAACAGGGCCCGGCTGGGCCTCCACAAGCTGGGGGTTCTGGAGCTCAGAGGGGCAGGCTGCTCCCGGAGGCGGAGCACTCAGGAAGGACCGGGAGGGATGACAGAGGCTTTGCCTGATGGCCTGGCCCCACCGCCCTCAGCACCTCCGGCAGCAGGGTCCAGAGGAGCCTGAGAATGAACGGAAATGTTGAAAGAGGCAGCATAGATAAGCTTCTCAGGAAACTGAAGGGGACCCGGCTGGCTGAGGTTCCCTTGCTGGGAGAGCTCAGCTGTGGGTAAACTCCTCCTTCAGAGACTCGGAGCTGCATTTTATTAAATTAATTAATTTATTGATTGATAAAAATATGTCTTCATTGATATATTTATGTATTTATTATTTTTTTAAAAGAATTTTTATTTATTTTTGTATATGCCCCTAGCGGGAACCGAACCCAGGACTCTCTGGTTCACAGGCCAACGTTCCAACCACTGAACCAAACTAGCCAGGGCTATTTATTTATTGTTTTTATCCTCACCTGAGGACATTGTTTCGATATTTTGTTTGGACAGAGTGGGAAGGAAGGAGAGAGAGAGAAACATCGACGTGAGAAGGGACACATCGAGTGGCTATCATCCACACGACCCAACCAGAGCCGGGGACAAACTGCAACCGAGGCACGTGCCCTTAGTAGGAACCGAACCTGGGTCTCTCCAGACCGCAGGCCGACGCTCTAACCGCTGAGCCAAACCGACCAGGGCTTCACTGGTTTTTTTTTTAGAGAGAGAGGAAGGGACAGAGAGATAGAAGCATTGATGTGAGAGAGAAACCTCAAGTTATTGCCTCCCATACGCGCCCTGACAGGGATCAAAGCCTGCGGCCCTGCTGTGCACAGGGAGACACTCCATGAGCTGAGCCACACTGGCCCGGGCTGGAGCCCTATTTCAGATTGATGGCTCCTCCAGGGGCATTGTGGGCAGGGAACGTGAGGGACACACTGGCTATAGGAGGATACAGCCCGGCCGGTGTGGCTTAGTAGTTGAGTGTTGACCCTGCACCAAGAGGTCATGGGTTCGATTCCTGGTCAGGGCACATGCCCAGGTTGTGGGCCAAATCCTCAGTGGGGGGCATGCAGGAGGCAGCCAATTGATGTTCTTGCTCATCAATGTTTCTGTCTCTTTCTCCCTGTCACTTCCTCTCTCTCTATAAAAAAAAAAAATTTTTTTTTTTAAAGGATGAAACAGCCTGGCTGGTGTGGCTCAGTGAATTGAGTGTCATCCATGGACTGAGAAGTCCTGGTTCGATTCCTGGTCAAGGCACATGCCCGGGTTTTGGGCTCGATCCCCGGTGGGGAGTGTGCAGGAGGCAACTGATTGATGTTTCTTTCTCACATCGATGTTTCTAGCTCTCTCCCCTTCCCTCCCTAAAATATCAATAAAAACATATTAAAAAAAAAAAAAGGAAACAGAGGCACAGGAGTTCTTGTCGAGGGCCTGCTAGAAGGCAGGGGAGGGCTGACGGGATTGGGAGCCTGGCTCGAGGTGCAGGTGGCAGAAGGTGGAGGCTGACAGGCGATGGTGAGGCCAGGGGAGGAGCTCTGTCCTCCACCGCGTCTGGCCAGCTCTCTCCGGGGCTCTGCAGACCCGCAGGGGTGAGGGTGGTTCACGAACAGGGAGGGGTGGGCTTGGTCTCAGGAAATGGCTTGCTGCATCCTCCTGCTACATCCTCCTGCTGCATCCTCCTGCTGCATCCTCCTGCTGCATCCTCCTGCTACATCCTCCTGCTACATCCTCCTGCTACATCCTCCTGCTGCATCCTCCTGCTGCATCCTCCTGCTGCATCCTCCTGCTGCATCCTCCTGCTACATCCTCCTGCTACATCCTCCTGCTACATCCTCCTGCTGCATCCTCCTGCTGCATCCTCCTGCTGCATCCTCCTGCTGCATCCTCCTGCTGCATCCTCCTGCTACATCCTCCTGCTGCATCCTCCTGCTGCATCCTCCTGCTGCATCCTCCTTCTGTGGGGCTGGCCAGGTGTAAGCTGACGGAAACTGCTCATCATTTGTTTTTATTATTTATTTATTTATTTATTTATTTAATCCTCACCCGAGGACATTTTTGCATTTATATTCAGATAGGGTGGGAGGGAGAGAGAGAGAAACATTGACGTGAGAGAGATACAGTGACTGGCTGCCACCTGCACGACCCAACCAGGGCTGGGGACAAACTGCAACCAAGGTACATGCCCTTAGCAGAATCCGAACCCGGGACTCTCTAGTCTGCAGGCCGACGCTCTAACTGCTGAGCCAAACCAGCCAGGGCCTAATAATGATTTTTGTTGAACTATTTGAGAATAATGCTCCTTTACTGCTAAATATTTTGGCATATATCTTCTAAGAACAGGAATATTGCCATAATCACTTCACCATAATTATCAAATCCAGAAAGCGTAATACTGATACCATGAAATACATAGTCCACATTGAAATGTCACCAGCTATCCCAATACTGTGCTTCACGGCATCCTGTTCCCTGGTTCAGAACCCAGCCAGGATGGCAGCCCCGCTCTTATGCCGTCTGTCGTCTGGATGGCTTCCACCCTTCTCCATCTGTCCTGCCACCGACATTTGTGGAGACAACTGGTTGTTTTTTAGAGGCTACTCAGTCTGGGTCTGCCTGACGTTTCCCCGTGCGACTCAGGTGAACCGTTTTTGGCAAGAATATTGCAAAAGTGGTTCTGTTTTTTTGTTTTTTCTTTTCCATTACATCCCATAGGAGACATGAGGACATTGAAATGTTTTCTTAAAACTTGGATTATTGGAAAATTTAGTCATTATAAGGTGCATGTAAGAAGCGCATATCGTTCTTCAGCTTTGCAACAGTCTTCCCCAGGCTGCTCAAGTCGCGCAGAGGCAAAGCTGTACCTTTTGTGGTCATCTGAGTCATCGGGCCTCCTGACTCCCTGCCCTTCCTCTGTTGCCGATGTGTTCCAGCCACACTGGACTGCTGTTCCTGGAGCTCCAGCTTCTCCTCCCTTCCCACAGGGTTCTCTCTTGACCCCTCCGGGTTCTGCTCAAACACACCTCCTCAGTGATGTCTTCCCCACTGAAATGTCAGCCCCAGCACCCCGGCACGCCCTACCCACTCTGCTCTCTGTGGTATGCATCTGCGTGTGACACACTATTTTGTCTACTTGGTTTTCTGTCTCCCAGGCCCCTCTGGGCCTCGCGGGGGTGATGCCCTGAGGCCGGGCTCTGCCTGTTTTGTTCACGGCTGTATGTTCTGCGTGTAGAATTGCATCTGGCACAAAGAGACTCTCACTGAAGATGCATGGAAGGAAGGAAAAAGGGAGAATTTATCTGTGCACTGCAGTTTCCCGGGGAAAAGCATGTGTTACTTCTGTAGCCTTGAGGATGTGAACTCACCTTCTGTGTCTAGTTTCCCGTGGGTACAGTCCAGTGACGCTGCTTCACGGGGTGATGCGAGGGTTAGATGAGACAGAAACATACACAAAGTGCTGAGAAGAGCGAGTTCCCTGCCCAGTAGGTGTGGCCCAGTGGGTTGAGCGTCGTCCATGTGCTGAGAGGTCCTGGTTCGATTCCCGGTCGGGGCACACGCCTGGGTTGTGGGCTTCATCTCTGGTTTGGGTTGTGCAGGAGGCAGCCCATTGACGTTTCCATCTATCTCTCCTTTCCTCTCTCTAGAGAATCAATGGAAACATATTTATTTATTTATTTTTATTTTCACCCGAGGACACTTTTGCATTCATCTTCAGATAGAGAGGGAGGAAGAGAGAGAGAGAGACACCGATGTGAGAGAGACACACTGAGTGGCAGCCACCCACACAACCCCAACCGGGGCCAGGGACAAACTGCAACCGAGGTACGTGCCCCTAGCGGGAACCGAAGCCAGGCCTCTCTGGACTGCAGGCCGATGCTCCAACCGCTGAGCCAATCTGGCCAGGGTCATGGAAACATTTAAAAAAGGAAAAAGAAGTTCTCACGAGTCCCTCAAATGATTGTTCATGGTATTCAGCTCTTTGGAGACAGGGCTATTTCACTTAGTCTCTCTTCTTGACTCTGATTATAAAACTATTCAGTAATCCTTCCTTGACAATTTAAATAGAAAACAATAAGAAAATTCTGAGAAAGATGAGAAAGCTTCACTGTGTGGCTCTTTTCTGAGGTTTATCATGGTCATAATCAGTAACTTAGGGAGATTTCAACACTTTTGACTTCAAGGAACATGTATTCAAGACATTTAGTCATACTATTATATGATATTGTAAAATATTCTTATTGTTTTTTATCCTCACCCGAGGACATTTTTCCCTTTTTTGTTCAGATAGAGTGGGAGGGAGAGAGAGAGAGAGAAACATCGATGCGAAAGGGACACGTCGAGTGGCTGCCACCTGCACGACCAACCAGGGCTGAGGACAAACTGCAACCGAGGTATGTGCCCTTAGCGTGAACCAAACCCGGGTCTCTCTGGACTGCAGGCCGACACTCTAACTGCTGAGCCAAACCGACCAGGGCTATTCTCATTGTTTTTAAGTTAACATCTACCTCTTCATTCCCGTTTTTGTTGGACATGCTTTGAGCTGTAGGAGATGCCGGGCACTTAGGATTCAGGGGTGGACGGCCCTTTGTTCGCGGAGCTGATGTCTGTCACACGAATCAATATGTATTCACAGCTGTGCTTAATGTGCAACAAAGTAGCCAATGCAGCAGGTGCTC